GAGGACGACCCTGGGGGGAAGGTGTAGCTCAAATGGTAGAGCGCATGCTTAACACGCATGAGGTCCTGGGTTCGATCCCCAGCACCTCTGCCAAAAACAAAACCAAACCAACAAAAAAGCACAACCTAATAATAAGGATACCCTGGTTCTTGAAGACGAGCCACCTGCTTGAGAAGTGGGTGCCGCGTCCAGGCTCCGCGCAGGCAGCAGCCCCGCTGCCGCCCGCCGGTCGCATCTTCCCTGTCTCCGCCTTAGCGTGGCCCCACGTCTACCTGCACATCAGTGTCGCCTGCGGAGAGCTTCGGGGGGCTTCGGGGGCTGAGTTCCGTTAGGTTCCGAGGCTACCACCCAACCCCTCCGCCAGCTTCTGGTATAACAGAGCGAGGAGCGGGCCTGGGAACCTGCATTTTGAGGCGGATTCTCCAGGTTGATTCTTACACTCGTGCAAATTTCGGAATAATTGCCTGGATCTCCTTCCTTTCTTTCTCTTCACTTCGAGCTTTTCCCCTTGTCTCTTTCCTTCTGGCTTGCCTGCTGTCTCTCAAATTGACCTCCTCTTTTCTCTCTCCATGGCTCTCTCTGTCTCTCTCTGCCTGCCTGTCTCCCCTCCCCACCCCCAACCCCGTTTCTCTTCCTCCCGCCCTTGTGTGCCAGGCAGTCCTACATGGGAGGTTGTGACCTCTGCCTTCGTACAGCATCAGGGTCTCTCATCTGTGACCTCTTTCTTGCCATTGGCCACACCTGCCAGCTCCTTTCTTTCTTTCCTCTCTTTCTTTCTCCCTCCCGTCCTTCCTTTCTTCTCTTTTTCTTTTTCTTTTTTTTTCCTCTTCTGTTAGTGAATCCATCTGTACTTCTAGCCTCCCAGATATCACGTAGGGTTAAAAAGGTGCTGGCATCTACCTGGGCTTCCAAGACACAGGTCCCTCCTGTCACAGCTTAGAGGACATCTTTAGACCATGACAGGCCAGGTAGATGGAGAACGATGATTCCCTCTCTCCCCAGTTTTTTGCTGATTACTTGGGATTTGCCTTTTCTAGAGCTCGAGGTGAAGAATAAGTCAGGTTATTCTCAGCTAACATTAGAAGCATTCTACTTTTCATAATGTTTAAGGACCTCTTTCTTGTACTTGCTCCCTTAAAGCTTAAAGCTGCAATTAAAGATGGCTCTCCAGTCAAAGGAAAAGCATATAAAAGTGGGGCTTGCATTAGAAGAGAAAATGGGGAATAACCTCTGAATTAACCCC